CGCTAAAATGGTTCGTGTTTAATTCATCCACACACTGAGATTACCTGTTATGAAGGTGGCCCAATTGTGTGGAATATTTACAGATTATTCAAAGCTTTGTAAAACTTTTGATAATAAGTGTTTCAAATCACCCCTAAGTATCTGAAACTTTACATTAAACTGTTTTATTTTGACATTCAATGGTTGTTTCGTTTTTACCTTTATTTTATTTTTTTTAATTTTATTATTATTATTTTTTGTCTTTAAGATTGGAATCAAACAGATGGGAATCAGAAAGAAGATCTTAGATGGAGTCCATGAGGTGCATAAGAAAGACTGGGAGCAGGGCAGTCTACCAACAGTACAGTACAGTAGGCAGCTAAGGTATGGGGTGAAGGTACAATACAATACAATAAATATTATTTCATGTTGGGTATAAATTGAAAGGACACATAGCTTTACAGCTATTCACCGTCTGGGTAAGGACAAAAACATATCTACAACAATGCAATATTTACAAATGAAGTCTTAGTAAGATAGTAAAAGGAAAATCTTTCTACAAAGAGTATACAAAAACACATGAAATCTACCTTTGAAGGTGGTATAAGGTATGGTTCAATATGGTATGAAGGTGGTATTTGGTATGGCATATGATATCTTGTGATGTGTCGCAGCATAATATGGTGTGGAATAGAGTGATGTCACATGGCAAAGCGTGCTGTTGTATATGGCAAAGGTACAGTGTCATAATGATATATTAAGGCATGGTGTGCTATGAATTGTTTTATATGATATGGTATTGTGTGGTATGAAGTGACAGAGATATAGAATGGTGTGGCATACAACATTTTGTTATAACGAGAGAAGGAACGCTGCTGTATGGCAAGGTCAAGTGGTATGGATTGTTGTGGTATAATATGGCATCCATGTAGTACTATATAGAGTGGTTTGGTGGTACTTCTCTGTGTGTGTAAAATAAATACTTCTTTTGAATTCAGCCCTCTTTTTCCTATTTCTTTGGATAATACTAAATATGTATACATAATTCATGGTGTTATAAAGTTTGCTTCAGACCCACCAGTTGTGCTTTAATCCTGAAGGTTTCACATGGCCATGTTTCTGTTACAGTTGTACAGAGGCAGTGGCTGTACTGGCAAACCTCAGCAAGCATGCAGATTACATAGGATGTACAGTGGCTTACATAAAGGAGCAAATCAAAGAAGATCCCAAATTATTACAAGCAGGGCAGGTACAAGTCTCTTAACTATTTAGAATTGCTTGTTGTGTGTTCTTTTTATTATTATTATTATTATTATTATTAAGACCATTCTTGGACACTGGTCTGATGAGGACTATGCTTGACTGGAAATCCAGATGCTTTGTTGATAAGGTGACAAAACTGTTTAAATAGGACAAGCTATTGTAGTGCAATTTCACATTCTTGTAACTTCTAATGAGCAGAGTTTTAGACTCCATATTTTATTAATATAAAACATTGTAAATAATTTGATTCTCGTAATGTCAAACTTATTGTCTTTCAGCAAGGCTATGGCCACCAGGATATGTGCAAACATACAGATAAAGCCATTAGAAATACACAACAACTGTACACAGAACTTAATTTACTCAGGGAAAGTTTAGCAAAGGTAACATATGATATAAAAAATACAGCAGTTGCATGTAGTACATAATGAGTGTATGTTTTCGGCTAAAAAAGCTTATTTCTGAGCGAATCTATGAAAAGATGTACCAGCAAAGCAATGAAATATTTTTCACTTTTTTTTAAGCAAAGTAATAGCAAATCTTGATCTTAAAGTTCAGTAAATTGTGAGATTTGGCAATTTAAAGTATCTTTAGCCAGCGAATTAGCAAAAAGGTAAACAACTTGCTTGCCTTTTCCTTAAATGACAAACCCATCAATATTATATTATAGATATGGCATTATTAAACAACTTGTTTGTTTTCCGGCAGGTAACTGAGAAAGAATACCAGGCTCCTGATCTTATTACAACTCCAAACAGGAAAAGGAAAACAAAACGGCTCAGAAGACTGGCAGTTGGGACATTAATAGTGGGCTCTCTTCTTGGTATATGCTTCTGGAAACGAGACTCTGTTTTAGACTGGATCAGCAATGCACGGGATCAGCTGTGGACACAATAATATAGTATCACCAAGTTTATTGTGTGACTTGGGAACACAATACTTTTCACATTACCTTGATATTAATACATGACTACAGGGCACTCCAAGAGTGTAGACCTTTGCCAAGGAAAAAAAAGGCAATAAAATGCTTTAAATATACTAGTAGACACAGATTTAGTTGAAATTGATCACTTTTTTCTCTCCTGAATAACTTTTACATCCTGGAAATTTCATAGTTGGAAGGATTTCAGATTGGATTATACTGGTGGTGCTTGTACTGTAAAACATTTTCATATGGATTATTTCAATTCTTTCAGAAAAAAATGTGATGTTTATGGTTTGCTTATTTAATTATATTTTGCAAAGGGATGCTGCACTGTTATTACTGTGATTAGTTGAAGAAGGATTTATGATGCTTGTATTGTTGATGGATTTCATATGAATGCACAAAAAGATGTTTATGTCATGGGTTTAAATGTAATGCATTTAATTTAAGTAAAATTGAGGGAGAGAAAGGTAAGGAGGGATATTCACACGCATGCATGCGCATAAAGAAAGTTCAGAATATTCTGCAGTCTGACAGGTTGGCATCGAGGCAAGGTAGGTCCTTATGATCTCATAGTCTTAAAATACGTTATTATCCATTTTAATATAAGTATAATGTTTTCTTTACAATATTCTGAACTCGATAAAAAGAACATGCAAAGCTCTACATACCCTGTGACGAATATAAACAAACAAAAATAATTTTAAAACTTTGAGACCATGCCAAGCACTTAGTATAATGATAACATAATATCTACAGTGTGAACCTAAAGAAGACCCATTTAATGTTGAGAATGTATTTGTCAGTTGTCATAATCATCTATACCGTATTACGAAATCAATGGGAATAAGTACGTAAAGCTTCAATTATAAATAGTTGTCAGTTCCCAGCATGACAAATGAATAAAGTGTTTTTAAAGTTGGCATAGGGATACAACTCGCAGCCGCCCAAGCATGCCCTTAAAATTTATAACATTGGTGTAAATGAAGCTATATAATAGCCACATAGAATCTCTGACTTAATTCATCTTCGCGTTCGTTCATCTTGAATACACGTGCTTGGTTATTTGAAGAATTTCACTTGACGCTAAATTATTATACGGTCTAAACACGAGATGCTTTGCTTGAAAGCAATGTTGATCGTTTTATGTTTACCAAGAGGTACCCTGTATGTATGAACACTGAAATGCCATGGGGGAAAAAGGAATGATATCAGTTAATGTATAGTTTTCATGGGACATTAATTTTTAAGGTTTCACGCACATTTTGGCTACAGTTAGTGTTTACGTCACGTAGCAAGAGACTTCCTTCTTTATTTTCATTTATTTAATAAGCTAATCAATAAAAATACAGTTAACAGTTAACTTTCTTCTGAATTTAGCCCACTGTTATTTGAAGGCAATTTAACTTCCAGAAAGATTTTATATAAAACTACATTTGCTTATATTTCCAGTTTCTGCCATAAAATTTACCTCGAAATCCTACGATGAAGTCATTGGCATAGCGGATTTAACCGGTGTAACGTCATTTACATTCAACGTGAAAACGTGTGTGCCAGTAATACTTTATATGTGTACCGTCGCCAGCTATTTCGAATGCGACTACTTGTACAGTTGGGCTCTTGGCAGTGATATCGTTTACCTAAACCGTATGGGGATCTTCGGCTCCATAACACAAAACGCGCCAAATATTCTTGATTGCGGATCATTTGAGGCATTTTGGATTAGTTGGGATGGAGGATACACCCAGTTAGGAAAGGGTCGAGATATTGGAAAGGAAACAATCATGATGTACAGCATGGACCATGATGTCAGATTTGATATAAAAGCTTTAACAGTGAAGGTTTGGGGAAATGCAATCGCAGAATGGGATATCACCCTACCATATCGTGAGTAAATAAAACAAAATGCACGGTTTCTTCAGACACAACGTGTCAGCTGTTCTAATGCTTATACCATCGTTACCCCTTAGGTTGCTAAAAACATGAAATATACTTGACATTTAATATGGAATGTTTTAGAATTCATTTTCTTCGTTTTGTTCCTTATTTATCTGACTGCATAAATGAAAGCCAGTAATTACCCGGCGGGATATTCAGTGCACAGACCGTGATCATAAGATAGCGCGAATAGAAAATAGAATTTAGAAAATAGACATTGCATGTGAACGAAGCCTTAAAGAATCTCTCTGCAGTACGCGTCATTGCGACATCCGTTCTTTAACTGAATTTGCCAATTCGCAGAAAAAAAAAGTGGCTGCTTCTGAGTCATGCAACAAAAAAAAAGTTATTTGGTTTTCCATGTTTTCTAAATTATAATATGTGAAGTTACACGCGACAAAAAGGACGTTTCTTGTGTATATTGTGTCTGGCAATGCCTGAGTGTTTCTGCCATATTGACGCAGTGCAACAATACTTTGACACACTGCTCCACTCAGTAGATCACGTTTTCAAAATTTCATCTTGTGCAGGCGTTGCCGAAACATAGAAACTTTTTAATATAAATTATTTTTATTAATTATTTCTTATCATTTTTATTATTTAATTAATTAATTTTATTAATTATAATTAATAGTAATTAATATTACAACAAACAGAGTCATACTTCGACCAGCTTAAAAAATATTTCCAAATGAAATCGCCGCAAAATTCGCGATGCAGCACAATGCGCAAATAACCACAACTCACACGTTTAAAGGGATATAGCTCCTCGTTTTGGCCAAAAAATTAATTTTCCTGGAGTAAACAACAAATTTCTGGTACTTACCAATGGTTAATGAATTCATTTTTACATTCAAAGTTAGTCCCTGGTTTTTTTCTAAAAAGTTTGGTTTTTTGTTAAAATCTCTTTAGAGTTTATAACTGAGTACAGCCATCAATGGAAGTCACGTGATCTAAAGACAAGCTCAGATATCAAAATAATAGCTATTACTGCCGTTTTTGTGGTAAAATACAATATATTATATTTCTATGGGTTGTTTACAATGTTTATTGTTGTGAAATATAGATATCATACGAAGAGTTATTTTCCCTTTAAATCCTGCTATTTTATTTGAAATATAAGTATTTTATAAAGGAAATATTTTCCATATAAAATGTCAAGTCTGAAGTGCGATTGATCACATCCAACCAGGTTGTATCTTTAACTAAGAAGTCTACATGTGTCATAATGTCTTATCTGCTCAATGCTGTGGAATTTCCACATTTTCATAAGGATTTCCTTTTAGTGGTAGTGCTAAAATTACGTATTACGTGTACGTCTATGGCTGTATTCCCAGAGCTTTTAGATCGATCTATCCCCGCAGGGAGTCTCACTAGATTACTGTCAGATAATCCGGCTTTAATGTCCGTCCCGCCTACTACAAGCTGTAAGGGGGTAATTAACTTTCGTGTCCGCCCGGCTGACAGCTATTTAGCGTGAACCCCCAGGGAGTTAGGTCGATCTAAATAGATCGATCTACTCTCTGGAAATGGCGTCTATGAGAGCATCCACATCGAGAATAGCCGAGCTCTAGTAAGGCCGAGACCTAAATATGACGGACCTTCATGAAAGGAAGGCCGCTTAATCCATTAATGGTCTCTCCGCCTCTCACACGCCTCCCCGCGCGTCGTCCCTGCAGGGCACACTAATTAAATCTCGGTTCGGTCGAGGGACGGCGCGTGGGGAGCCGTGTGAGAGGCGGAGAGACCATTACAGGATTAAGCGGTTTTCCCTTTCACGTAGGTCTGTCATATTTAGGTCGCGGCCTTACTAGACCTCGGCTCTTCTCGATGTGAATGCTCTCAGTAACATAAGATATGTTGAGAAGAATCTTCTGGGAGCAAAATACTATATATGTTTTAAATGTTTCAGAGACACGAAGACAAGCCTTCTTTCGCAAGATTCCATTTTCTGACCGTAAGTTTGAAATACTGGCTAATCTGACCACACAAAGGAAGGGGCACTGTGCTTATGAGTGTCTGAGCAATCTTCGCTGTAACTCATTTAACATTGACCACAGCCCGGACGAAGACACCGGTCACTACCGATGTCAGCTGAAGGCAACCTATTTAGATAATTCACGTCAGCCAGCGAGTGCATCCCTTTTCGATCGCTGGGAAATGGTTTACAACTAACTAAAGCAAGGCCGACTTGACGATGTCACTATATGGCGTAGTATTTCCACGTGGGACTGGCCACAATAAGCTGATTCGGCCCAAAGGCAGATCTAGTTCGATTAACACACATCAGCCAACGATAAAAATATCCCCCCTTACATTAAATAGAGTGGGTAATATTTTATGTATAGCGCATCCATAAGCATCAATCATATACCAAGTACTGAACACAGGTACTTTCATTACTTTTTCGCTTGATAGACTAAAGATAAATTTATGAAAACATAGTATGGATGTAGAACTTGTGGAAGTCAAAACTCAGAATTGTTGTCAACAACATGGCCCCAAGTACTCAGTATGAAATATTTTAATGATATACCGTAACATGTATACCAGAAATCTGTGTAATTTCTTGCTTATGTACGCGTGTCAAAAATATGATCGAAAATGGCCAGTCTGTTGTATTGTATTGTATTAGACCATCTGAAAAATTAATGAAAAAAGTTGCTTATGTAGACCCTATCCTTTTATTCCATCCAATTAATTACAGGTACATAAAAACCATTATGTGATGCAAGTGATGTCACAGCTTGTATCTTACCTCCATGTTGATAAATATTCGTTGAGAAAATTCTTAATCGGGAATATCGCTTTGGTCAGAAGACAATTTCCATCGACTGGTATTCTGTCTTTAAAAGGTACATGTATCTACTTTACCTGCTTCAAATGTTGCTGAAGTGCTGTACAATTCAACATAAAAACGGTGGGGCTAATTTTGTCACCGATATTTATGATTTGTATTTTGATATGTAACTTAAAAGTTCAAAACCACTGAATATTCAAAACCCACTGAAGTTTATGCTCTGGGGCCGGTTTCACAAAGCAGTAGTTAGTTAGAACAACTAACTACTGAACTACCTCGCTAACGAGCAAACTTAGCGATTTTCGAGGGGTGTTTCACGAAGCAGTCGTTAACTCATCGCTAAGTTCAGTCGTAAAGTTCGGTCGTTAGTTCTCTCGTTACTCACCGTAGTCTCGAAACCGTCTGCCGGAAGTGGAACTCTTGCGTAAAAGTGTCACGAAAGCACTAACTCTCCAATTTTTGGTGGCTGGAAATGCATAAGACCGTCTGCTTTGAGGTCGTCGTAA